ACCCCCTATAGGCTAACCCACTGCAGCCTAAACAACTACAACATTAGATATAATGTTTGACACGGGTCGCGGGTCGCGGGGCCTTAGGGGGTCATGAAAAACGAGGCGCCCTAGGGCGTAGTTAGGTAGGTAGGTAGGTAGGTAGTGGTGGGCCCTAAAAAAACGGTCCTAACGAAGGACCTGCTCTATACCATGTTGAAATGAACGAACAGGAATGATTGAACTAACAGTGAAATCAGTACAAGTACCTAACCCTAGAATTGTGTACCCCCTATAGGCTAACCCACTGTAGCCTAAACAAGCACAACATATATAATGTTTGACACTGCATTCCTCAATGACATCGTCAGCTGCATGGCAAGATTATCAGACTCCTGCATCACCGAGTCACCGCCACACTACTCACCGGAAGAACAACTCGACAACACCACATCTCGCCGCGAGTCACTTCAACCGAATCCAACGTACGCAGCCATCGCCCAGAGCAAGCCATCCGGGAAAGACACCTGGTTCTTGGACAGTTGCTGCGGACAGCACATGTGCTCCTCAGGACGCTTCGTGCAGCAAGAGTACCAACTCCAACGCGAAGTAGTCATCACCGTCGCCAACAACCAGAACCTGCGCACACGACGACAAGGCATGGTTCAACTCCAGTCAAGAGAGACAAACGTTATACTACAGATGTCAAAGGTATTAATCGCTGAGGGACTCGGCTACAACGTACTGAGCGTCAGCCAGTTGATGGCAAAAGGCATTCACCTCGAAGCAGACAGCACCACCCAGGAATTCAAGTTGTACCACGGGAGAGGAGGTCTCTACATTGGCAAGGCGGTCTTGAAGAACAATGTCTTCGTTCTCGACTTCGTTCCAGACCTCGGCACCGCCGACAGCGACGGGATCGTCACCTTCACCTCTTGGACACATCTACCGGATCTTGACCCAGAATTCAGCCCCGGCGGTTTCTGGTATTCACACACGATACCTAAAGTAGAAAGAACAAGAGCGTTAGCGACAATTCAACATCCGGCAGCAACAGAGACAACATCGGCAGCAGCAGAGACAACACCGGCAGCAGCAGGGACAACATCGGCAGCAGCAGAGACAACATCGGCATCAGCAGAGACAACAACGGCAGCAGCAGAGACAATGGAGACAACAGCGGCAACATCAACACCAATCGCTGGTCCTTCAACGGCACCAATCTTCGTCGACGACACACCACCGACACCCGCGCAGCAACTGCACCCAGCACCACAAGAAGTTCATCGAAGCGCCAACTTCACCGCCAGCTTCTATTCCAACTCCGATATGTATCGGCGCTCACCCGGACATCGTGCCACCGAAGGAACCTGACACGCAAGAATGGGACACCCAAGCAACACGGTGTTAAACAACACGATTAGAGCAGGCGTGCTCGACAAAGACTCTCTACTCCTAACTGACGGCAGAGAACTTCAGCGAGCCCGTGGAACATGCTTCACCTGTTCCGAAGCTGACTTACCACATCAACCGTTTGCGTCTCACCACAACCCAAGCGCACCAACTTACGCGCCACTCGAGAAGGTGTACAGCGACATCCTATACAACCATGAGCCTAGACAAAACACGTACAATTACACCATCACCTTCATCGACGGAGCCACTCGATACGTCTTGCACCTAAATCTTCCAAGCAAGGACATGGCCTTCGAAGCCTTCGTCGCCTGGCTTCCAGTAGCAGAGCGAGAATCGGGCGTCAAGCTAAAAAGCTTCCAGACAGACGGGGGAGGAGAATACACCTCGACTCGGTTCAAGGAGTACTTAGCAGAGAGAGGAATCAAGCGCCTCATCTCCCTTCTCTACGCCCATCAACAGCAAGGTGTAGCAGAAAGGATGAACAGGACACTCCAGAACATCATGCGCAAACTGCTGCGTGGCATGCACCTGCCCAACCACCAGTGGCCCGAAGCAATGGACCACGCCGTCATGCTGCACAACTTGCTCTCGTCATCATCGCTTCGGAACAACGCATCACCGCATCTGCTGTGGACAGGAAAACTGGGCAGCACAAAAATGTTACGAGTCTTCGGCTGCATGGTACAGTACCGGCCTCCATCTGCACGAGCTGGCCGATTCTCACAACGCGCACAGTGGGGACTATACCTGGGCATCGAAAAACACTACAACGCATGGAAGATTTTCGACGTCGAGACAAATGAAACAGTAGCAGCACGTGATGTCATCTTCTACGAAAACCTCACCCTCCGATACTACCTCGCCAATTTGCAAGAAGGAAACCCCGACCGCTCCGATGGCTTTCTTGGCACCCGAGCCTTCGCCTCGGCAGAAGATGAAGCTAACTGGGACGAGCAGAACGTGGACAGAGCCTCGGAAGAAGCCGGACCTCTACCCTACTGCTCAGTAGACGTTCCAATGGACGACGAATCCCCACGCGAAAGCATCAACGCCAAAACCTATTACCACTTCGCTGACAACGGTTACGTTACACCTGCACAAGTCAACATCGACGAAGCAGAACGCGTAGGACCTAATTTTGCACCTGATCTAGAAGCGGGAGACGAAGCTGTTTATCCCGAGGACACGTCACTTCCCCGCTACACATAGAGTGGACTCCAGATACTCGGGCTCGTCACCGCAGTCCACGGCACGGCCATTCCTAAGGAGCCTGCCATAGTTCAACAGGCTCTGGAGGGGGAGCATAAGGAAAAATGGCGCGAAGCTATGGACAGGGAACTAAAGGCACTAGAGGAGCGCAACACTTGGAAAGTCGTCTCTATCAGTGTGGCGCGGAACAAAACGATTCTCACCGGAAAGTGGGTCTTCCGCGTGAAGACGAAAGCAGACGGCACCATTGACAAGTTTAAAGCACGATGGGTCGTACGCGGCTTCGATCAAGAGCACGGACGCGACTTCACCGAGATGTTCGCTCCAGTCAGTCGGCACACCTCACTTCCAATTCTTCTCGCGATCGCTGCCATGAAGAAGAAGAAGCTGCGACAAATCGACGTCGCAAATGCATTCCTCTACGCACCTGTTGACGCCGAAATCTTCGTCGAACTTCCACACGGCTCCAACGGAGAGCCTAACCAAGTCTGCCAGCTGTTAAAGCCCCTGTATGGCATCAAACAGGCACTGAGGCTGTGGCAGCAGTACCTGCACGCAAGACTCATTCACATTGGATTCCGCCAGCTACCTCACGACCAAGGCATGTACCGGCTCACGAAGGGCGACGACTACATTCTGCTCATTGTCTATGTGGACGACCTGCTCTACATCGGCTCAACTGATAACGTCACCACCTGGTTTGAAGGGGAGCTGCAACAGGATCTTACTCTCACAGTGTCATCGACCGTCACACAATACCTCGGCCTCAACATACGAGAAGAAGAAGACGCGATCTACCTTAGCGCCGCAAAGTACGCCGACACCATCGCGAAACGCTTCGCTCTCACACCAACTACCATCTCCACGCCATATCGCTACGCGGCAGGAAACTGCAAGGAAGGATCCGCTCCACTGAAGCCCGCCGGCATACGCGACTACCAGAGAAAGCTGGGCTGTCTCCTCTTCGCAGCCGTCACTTGCCGTCCGGACCTGTCATACTCCGCAAGTCAGCTCGCGACCTACCTCAAGAAACCTAAAGCAGAACACATGGCGGAGCTCGACCACGCTCTCCACTACCTCGTCAGCACCCCAACAACCGGCCTGACCTATCACAAGAACGGGACCACGACACCTAGGCTAATCGGCTACGTCGATGCCGATCACGCTGGCGACTCCGACAACAGACGCTCGCGCACTGGCTACATCTATTGCTTCGAGCCTATCGGTCCTATCTCCTGGCAGTCGAGCAAGCAGAAATTAATCGCTCTCTCCTCAGCTGAAGCAGAATATATCGCACTCTGCTCAGCCACCAAGGAAGGACTGTACCTTCGCGAACTCCTGGAGGAAGCCAAGCTAGCCCAGTTACCAAACTTCACCCTGTTCTGCGACAACCAGTCGGCCAATTCGCATAGCCAACAAGAACGGCTTCGCGAACAGGACGAAACACATCGCCCTGCGATATTTCTTCGTGAAGGACAAGATCAAGAAGGGGAGACTCGAGTTGTCATACTGCCCCACGTCCGAGATGGCAGCTGATTACTTGACCAAGAAGCTCAGAAAACAGAAGTTCGAGTACTGTATGCTGCTGACTGGACAGAGCCACGTCACCAGCAGCGACACTCCAGAAGCGAAGGGGAGTGTTGGAAACAACTAATTCTAAGCGCCTCTGTCGTGTCGAAACACCAAGGCACAAGCGAAGCACAACATATCGCAGCATCAGCGAGTCAACCCTCGGAGGTTGAGCAGCTGCTGGAGGTTACGCGAAAGTCAAAGGTTAGCGACCTTTGACCTGACAAGTAAAGCGCGACAGCAACGACACACAACTGACTCGCTACAGAGCAGTTGCCCGAGTCGTCACTGTATCGAAACGCAACAGCAACAGTAAAGTAGTTATAACTGTATCTCTTCGTATTCCTTGTACTCTTATATTATCCTGTATCTCTTTGCTTTAATCAATCTACTTTGCCCTCACATACTAGCGCAAGGTGGTTCACAACTCTTCATTAAAACGCTTCCGCTATTACATCAGTTCTACCCAGAGTACATCCCTGCAAAGATCCTACGGGCTTTTCTCAGCCCAACACGTGAGAACCTGGCTTTAACCTTGAAAAGACCCTAAGGGCTTTCCTCAGCCCAACACTTCTCCCCCACTTTGCCTATGGGGGTGTGTCGAACTATGATGCTGCTTATGCTGTGTAAGCTGTAGTGGGGTTGCCTATATGGAGTACAACCCAATTAGGGTTAGTACTTGTACACAGTTTGATGTCAATGCAATCATTCCTGCTTGTCAATTTCTGACAGGTGCGCCTATATTCAGGGGGTGGATGGTACTTATGTTGGCACTCAATAAGCGACAATAATAAACCAGTGTGAGGAGCTAAGTAACGTGAGACCTGTCATTTAGGACCAGAGAGAATGCCCTTCTTGTCCAAGCACTCAATGAGGACAGCAGCCATCTTCTCTGGTGGCTGCAGCACCCCATCTTCCTTAGCCACCTCAATAACCACTTCGGGTGCTTCAGGCTCTTCATAAGGGTCATCAATGCCTGCCCACGCACATCACATCACCACAACGTATTACCATGCAAAAGACCACATGATGCATTGTGGGAACGAGCCAGCGCCCATCATTAGTGATTTCACTCCCCCAAAAATCGTTTTCCCCCATAACGAACCCAGCAGTCGATCTCACCAGTGAAGCCCTTGAGCTGGCCCGATCGAGCCTTCTTGTAGAGCCCCTTGGGGTCGCGCTCCTCGCACACCGAGAGCGGGATCTTCATATACACCTCGATAAACTCGCCTCCCTCCACCAGTGCCCGCGCCGCCTGTCGGTCCTTACTGCCACGCGTAAGCCAGCGGGGGACAGCGCACAAGTAAACAGGGCGACAAAAAGGCGGTTGAAGGGGGGGCGAGGGACGCCAAAAGGGAGACACGAGTAGGTTCAATAGTGAAAAGGACATGATCCGAAGGCGACAAGGGATGTCAACTATGAAGATCGCATTGACCAACACATGGAATCAGTGGGAAAACGACTCACGCGTAAGGCGAAATGAAGCTGACGATGGTGATAATACCGGCATCGGCAAAAAGCTTAGACACCTCGCCAACTCGGCGGATGTTCTCCTCACGATCCGCCGCGCTGGTAGGAACCGATAGGCAGCACGGCAAGATTAGAACGATTCAGCGAGGGGTGGTAGTCATGCGATAAAAGAATGCCATGAAATAGGAGAGAAATGAAACGTAAACAGACACTAGCGAAAGACAGGGGTAACATATAGGCCGCAGAAAGCCACAGCATCTGGTGCGCGATAGCAGCAGTCACACCTGAAGCCGAGGTTCTTGTTGAGCCCATGTCGCACGTTATCGCCGTCCAGCACCACGGTGATTCTCCCTCGCTCCATCAGCGCGTGCTCCAGCGTGTACGCCAGAGTGCTCTTGCCCGAGCCGCTCAGCCCTGTCATCCAAATCACGCACCCGCGCTGCCCTAGAAGGCGCTGCCTGTCATTCGAACCATCGCACGGCACGGCGAGCCGCACGAACGCACGCCACGGAACAGCCACACGACAAACATCAGCTACGCGAACCGTTATGCATCATTCATTCATGCGCAAAACCCTTGATCTCCAGGCTGCAGCCGCCATATTGTGATCGATCGTGAATCGGATTACGCGGTTAATAACTCAAGTCAAACCGATTCAGTGACTAAAACAAAAGGCCTCACGAGGCGATGGGCAGCTTACCTCTCGTCCTTGTTGACTTTCGCCTCGTGCCACTTGATGTTCGTCGAGTGCCCCACGTCGTACACCGTTGGCGCCACAGTGCTCCCGTAAATCGCTCGGACCGTTCCCAAAGAGAAAGCCGCAGGGATCTGGCCAACGGGAGTGGCGCCGGACTGGCTGAGCGGCACGGCACCTCCATCTGCTGCCGCGGAGGCCGCAGCTAATGGTCGAAATAGACGATCCGCTACGGACCGTGCGGCAGAGAGCCGCCTGCCAGTGAAGGAACGGAGCATGGTTGACGAGGAGGAGATGAGGGGATGTGGTGCGGTGAAGGCTGAATGTGAATGGTGAGGCGAGGTGGACTGGACAGAGATGGATGAAGAGAAGCTGCAGGTGGTGAAAAAAGCAAGGGCTATGTTTCGAATTTCTAGTGGTTCGAGGTGACCCGTGTTGAGATCAGTGAAGGTGTGGAGCGAGAGCAGGTGTGGTGTGGCGGAGAGAGGATGGAGGGCGGACAGGCGGTCTCACGGGCAATTGGGCGAGGGGATGGCGGCTTGGCGAATTTTGCGGGATGTGAGGTGATTCGGGAGGCGGGAGAGAAGCAGCAGAAAGGATGGTCTGACAATGTCTAGGTTCGGAGAATCCCTTTTGACTCGCTAGTGTGGCTGCATGTTACTGGTGCAATGAATCGAGGTAGCGAGGATTGCACTAAGGTGTTCAATGAGTACAAAGTATGAGCGAAGGCACGAGCGAATACTTCTACGCGAAAATGTGCAAACGGTAACGTGGTGCGTGCGAGCTAGCTAGTGCTACGCTGGCTCGAGGATCGGGCTAGTCCCGAAGCGTAGGCCGACCCGGCTGCTCCAGCAGTGCGAGGTTTGGTGAAACAGTGCGCGCGGAATTGGCGAAGCCCCGTTAGCAGTAACGGGCGAACAACGGCTGCTGCTGTACGCGATGTTGACGGTCGTGGTAAGGAATAGCGAGAAAATTTCTTAAACTACCCCCGCCCTCAAGAAGCCCCCTCCGCTACGTGAGTGCCTGTATATCACGGAAACCCCGGCTCCTCAGGTACACTTGCAAGGCAGGGTGGTTTTTGATGTTGGCTAGGGGCACCCAGTCTCAGTAAGTGGCTACAGCGGAATGAGTTGCATTGGATGGATTGGGGTATATATTCCTACCTCTAACTGTTTGTACCCCCTACTGCACAACCCACTAATGGCTAGAATATTTGACACATCCCCATAGCCTAAGTGGGGAGTGCAGAGTAACAACAAACAACCTAAGGTCACAAGACCGGTCACCAACAAAAAGCAAAACAAAGCTCAGGGTGGATCACAACGTCACCACACAGTCTGAGCGCAAACATCGGCCACAAGGCCAGTTCAAGAGTGTATATGCAAATATATACAGTACAAGTAAAGACAAGAGACAAACACTCACTACTGCAGTCTACTCGACCCAGTCTCAACGAGGCCTAACTGCAGACAGAACCGGCGGTGGTCACAAGGCTGAAGAGCCTTGGTGAAGATGTCTGCAGTGTTGGCCTCGGAGGCCACGAAGTCCAGACGAGCCTGCCCGCGTCTCTGCAACTCTCGAAGGAGGAAGTACCTGACGTCGATGTGCTTCACTCTACTCTCCAGTCGAGGCTCACGACACAGGAGAATCATCGCCTTGTTGTCAGCAAACAAGGTCGGTGCAGAGCTCGGCCGCTCACCAAGGTCAGTGAGCAAAAAGGTCAACCAGCGTAGCTCCTGAGCAGCAAGGGCTCCAGCGTAGATCTCGGCCTCTGCGGTAGAAGTCGCAACAGAGGAGGACCGAGTTGACCTCCACGAAACAGCTCCAGAACCCAGGCTGAAACAGTAACCCTGCGTAGACCTCTGAGTCTCAACGTCATCGACGTAAGAGGAGTCGCAGTGGCCGGTGAGTACAACTGGCTGTGCCCCTCCAAGTACAAGCCCCATGTTTGATGTCGCGCCGATGTACTTTGCCACCCTCTTAGCCGACGCCCAGTGAACAGGACGGTGTCTCTCAGTCGCAACAAAGCGAGAAAGGATGCTAAGAGGGAAGGCGAGGTCCGGGCGAGTGCACGTCATCAGGTATATGAGGCAGCCCACTAGCTCTGCGTAGGAACCACTGGGCTCGAACGGCTCGTCAGGAAAAGGCCCAGTGAGTCTGTGGTCTACAGCAAGAGGAGTGGGTGTAGGAGAAGAGTCCTGAGGTCCGAACCGCTGAAGGACCTACTACACCATGTGTGACTGAGTCAGAGTGATGGTGCGAGCGGCTCTGTCCCTGGAGATCTGCAGGCCAAGGTAGCAGCGCAGTTCCCCAAGGTCAGTGTAGGTGTGTCTCTTCTGCAGTTCGGACTTCACCTCTGCTAGTGCAACTGTGTCGGCTATGGCAAAAACCAAGTCGTCAACGTAGACCAGAACGAAGAAAGGTGTGCGCCCACGACGAACAAACCGCGACGGGTCGGCGGAAGACGGCTCAAACCCGAGGTCGGAGAGAGTAGAGCGGAGAGTGTCGTGCCACTCACGGGGTGCCTGGCGGAGACCGTAGACCGGTCGTCTGAGGCTCCACTGGGTCCCAGGCGGGAAAGTGCCAGTGAAGCCCGGAGGACGACGCAGCCAGATCTCCTCGTGTAGGCGGCCCTGGAGGAAGGCAGTGGAGAAGTCAAGAGAGTGTAGCTCGTAGTCTCTCTGCACTGCTACGTGCAGTAACACCCGAAGAGTGGTCATCTTCGGGGTGGGCGCGAAGGTCTGAAAGAAGTCAACTCCCTCATGCTAACTGAACCCTCTAGCCATGTAGCGTGCCTTGAAGACTGGAGGATGTCAGAATCCCAGTCACTAGACCACAGGGATAAAATGGCTTGTTAAGTAGCGGGTCAGTGCGCCCATAACCCCCCAGGCCAACAGGCCTGTAACCCTTCCCTAGGATCAATCGGGGATCACCAGTGGACCTCTGACAGAGGAGATCCCGGAGGCCGCTTCACCTTGAAGATCCACATGCCGTCAACGATGTTCGCCCCTGGGGGGGGGAACCTCGTCAATGTAAGTGCCTGTGGACATTTAGGAGGCCATCTTTGCGTCCATGGTAGCTCTCCACTGAGAGGCCCAAGGCCCTGACACTGCCTCAGCGTAAGTGCGAGGAGTAGGTATGTCAGGAGCGTCGGGGTCTCCCTCAGGAGCGAGTAGCATGGCACAGAGATGAGGCGAAGCAGCTGCCAAGAACTCTAGCTCAAACTGTCTGTCCTCTAGGACGTCACAGTCAAGGGCAGACTCACCCCCGGCGGACAGAGGACGGACAGGAGGAGCGGCCACAACACGAGTGGCGTAGTCAAGGTGATGCGTAGCTGTAAAGTCAGTGACAGCGGCAATGAGGACCGCGACGGAGGAAGGAGAGGCACGAGGGTCTGTAACAAGAGAGGCGAGAACACGAGAGAGAGTGGGGTGGTACGTGCGGTAGTAGTCAGTGACCGGAGTGGACAGGGAGGCAGTAAGGGACGACTCAGGCGGACGGGGAAGAACAAACTGAGGAGAACGAGGAGGACTAGGACGAAACAGCACGGTACGGAGGTCGGTGACAGGTGACGAGGGGCGAGCACGAGGAGAACGAGGCGCCCAAGTGTGGGCGAGAGGAGAGGGAGATGGAGGAGACTAAGAACGAGGGAACACAGCCGGAGCCGAGTCCGGAGGAGGAAACGTAGGACCGAACACAAGAGGAGAGGAGGGGAGACCAAGGGTCCGAAGGCCAGTAACAGGGGGCTCCGGCTGCTGCGGCTGCTGCAACTGCTGCTGCTGCTGCGGCGGCGGCCCCCGCTGTTGTTGTTGCTGTTGCTGCTGCTCCCGCTGCAACTCCAACCTCTCACGCTCCACCCGCTGCTGTACCTCCAACCTCTCACTCTCCACACGCTGCTGCCCCTCGCGCGCAAGACGAAGACGGGCCTGGTGTCGAGTCGGGTAGGGGTGAGGAGGAGGAGGAGTGGTGTCAGGAGACGACGAAGAAGAACCGGCTCCACCCTCGACAGGACCCGGCTGAGCACCCCCAGAGCGAGTACCCCCTGCGGCAGCATGACCAGTACCTGTAGGAGTTATACCCGCACACCCAGTCGTGGTGCCTCCAGTGGCACCAGCACCAGCCCCAGACTCTCCAGCTCCAGAAACACCACCAACTCCAGCACCACCACCAGCTCCAGTACCTTCGGAACGGGCAGCCGCGGCAGGTGCACGCTCAGCGCCAACGCCAACACCCCCAGAACGGGCGGCTCCTGTAGGTGCACGAACAGCTCCAACGCCAGCACCCCCAGAACAAGCACCGCCAGAGCCCTCACCTCGAGCACCAACACCCTCAGAGTCCGCAGTGGCCGGTAGAGGAAGCGCTGGCGGCAGCTGCGGAGGCTGTGAGGACGACTGTGGGGAAGGAGGAGAGACCTGGGGGGGTACCGAGGGGGGGGGGAGTAGCGTGGGACACACCAGACGGAGCGGGAACAGGGGGGGGTACCAGAGGAGCAGGGGCGGGAGGAGGAAGAGCTGGAGCTAGGAAGAGGGGAGGGGGGGGAACCGGGAGACCTCGACAGGGGTACCTGACGTAGTAGGGGACGGACTCGTCGAAACGGACGTCACGAGAGTCAAAGAACCGGTGGGAGGGAGGGTGGTAAAAGGTGAAGTCAGAGGAGGCCTCTGGGAAACCAAGGAAGACACAGGGGACGGCGCGAGGTGAGATCTTGTCCGCAGAGGTGTCACGGACAAGAGCCAAGCAGCCCCATACACTAAACCTCGACGCAACACCAGGGGACCCTGTCCAAAGACTGGTCGGTGAAGCCCCTGGCCGAGAGACGCGAGGCCAGAGGTTCAGCTGGTGAGCGGCATACCGAGCCGCGTAGGGCCACAAAAAATGGGGCGCGCGTGCGTGGATCATGGAGGTGCGGGCGATCTCCATGACCAGGCCTAAGCGGCGCTCAGCAACCCCATTCTGCTGTGGAGAGTCTAGAAGAGTCCAGGACTGGGTGATGCCCTGCTCAGCACAGAATCTGGCGAGAATGCTTGAGCGAAACTCACCCCCACGGTCGGAGTGGAGACAACTGACACGACGACCTCGAGTACCCTCGGTGGCGAGCAACCACCGGATCAGCGTAGAAGTCACATCGGACTTCTTCGCCAAAGGGAACACGGTGGTGTACCGAGAGTAATCGTCAATGACCACCAAAAAGAAACTCTCACGCTCAGGGCCAAGGCGGGGAGCGGGGCCCCAGACGTCTAAGTGTAGTGTCTGGAAGGGCTCGGTGGCCGGACGAAGG